TATGAAAAGTGTTTCCATCGATGGATAGGAAGTTACTTACGAATAAAGTCTTAATTAAATTCATCGATAATCTTTTGGTGCATTCATTCAAAACTTCAAACAATGCTGCGATTAAAAGGTGGAACAGATTTGGAAGCATACCCTAAATTACGCGCGTTTGTGAAAGCTTCAACCAAAGGATTACGTACAAGCCAAAGAAATGTTCTGCATCTGCATTTACAGAAAGCAACCTAAGAGGATTTTTTATTTTACCCAGATGACAGTTTCAAAAGTCATACTTGAAGTATCATTACTTTAAATCAACTTTAACGCACGTGTGTTTTAAGGGCCTTTTTTCGCCCGCATTTGAGTGTTTAAAACGGAAATTATGATGCAGGTATAATAAAATAAAATTAAAAAAAAATAAATAAATAAAAGTAAAACCCAAATTAAAGATGATTGAAATGCAAGTAGATAATTCGGTACGTCGAAGCCTAGCCTGCATTACCGTAGTTAGTTGGCGTAAGACACAGACTCGCGGAGTCGGCATGAATCGAGTAGATTTGTCTGATTTTCAGATTTTTTTCCTTTATACCGTAACTTCCCGAACAAGACTTCACCAAACAATGTTTAACTTGTAGATCGTTTCACGAATAATGTGCGTATGTGCAAATATACACCGATGCTTCTAGTAAAGACAAACATATCGCATATTATGTGCGCAGACTGCAACAACTTACATACTCTTCTAATAAAAACAAAGGTTAAACATACGTATAATTATTGAAAATCAAATCCGCGCATGCGCTGACTCGTAAATACCACCTTTCTTATTTATGGATATTTTCTTTGAAATTTTAACCTCGGAAGCTTCTAGTAAAAGCAAACATAGCGCCGAAGTTGAAACTCCACATGCGCAGTGTCAACTTTCCTATTTATGAATTCCTTCCAGATGTTAACAATGTTTTAACCATTTTATTTATTTATTTATTGTCCCTCTTGTGCCCTTAACAGATGGGCCCGCGTTTGGCTTTCTAGAGGTGCCCTTGCAGAAGGTCTTAAGTTGTTCTATACTACTCCGGTATTTACCTTACGAGTTAGAAAAACTGCTGGCATCAGAACCTAATTCGGAGTACCCGGCAGAATGCTCGAAACTGCTCTAAGGAAATTCCCATCTCTGCCATAGATGAAAAATTGTTACCTCAGCCCAGGTTCGAACATCCGACCCCGGTTTTGTAGCCCAACGCTCTACCACTGAGCTACAAAGCCGGACCATAAAAATGCTTGCTTCTTGCTTGCGTCCCTATAGCTTTTCGGGAGATACTGGTATAGGCATGGAAAATGCAATAAAGTTACACTATTTTCTTTTTTTATTATTCGAACAAGGGCAATTGCGCTTGTTCCACAAGTTTAATGAGCCATTTTTTTAATGCGGGGTTTTTGAATAAATTGAAAAAAAACCTGTTTTGCAACATCAAAATTTTAACAAAGAAAGATTAGGTAAATCGTGATTATCGAAAAATGTATAACATCCACAATCATGCATCAATAAAAAATTAATTGGCTCCGTTACAAGTTGTAATGTTGATATTACCAAACACAACTTATTTGAAAACACTCAAAATGTGTGGATTTAGAGTTTTGGAATAAACAAAGACTGACGTTTTCTCGAAAAATTAAAAAATGATCGATTATAGGTAGCAGGTAGGTATAGTAAATCTCATCTCGGTACATACTGTATATGAACAATTCAAGAACTCATGGTTTAATGTGGAGTGTTGTTAACTTCATACTCGACGAGAGCAAGCCGAAGCAACGTGCGCCGCTGTATAATGCATCCGACGCTATGATGACGAATGAAGACGGCGGACGACGCTCCGGTGCTGCGATGCTTTAAATGCGGTGAAGTAGGCCACAAGGCTTCCGAGTGCCATAACAGGAATAAAGGAGGAGAGTATGCCAGCCATGATTTTGATGGTTACTTGAGGGCATCTCGCGCAGACTGACAACGCCGTACAACCAGGAGCAGAACGTCTGAAAGAAAAAATCAAACTATTCCTCCAGATGTATGATAATGGAGGCTAATCTGCCGGGCAAATTTTGGGCAGCTGTGAACACGGCGAACTACGTCAGAAATCGCCCGCCTACGGCAAGTTTGAGGGGCTACACGCCGCACGAAATGTGGACGGGAAAGACTCCTAATATAATCTTGTTTTATAGTCTTTGGCTGCCCTATGTTCTATGTTAAGAGAGAGTCCGGAAAGGGAAAGCTCGAACCCGGGGGCGCAAAAGGAGTTTTCCTCGGATACGTCAACGAATCGAAAGCGTACCGAACCTGGTCAACGAAGACAAGGCAAGTCCTCATCACGCGAAAGAAAAGTGGCTTAGAAAACAGATATCAAAATGCGGTGAAAACAGATATCAAAATGCGGTTTTCACAGATATTCTTACTTTTTCATTTTACTTTATAATATCATATAATAATGCTATCGTTTCATTTGAAATTTTCAATAAAAAAGCCCTCTACCACTCATCACATTTACTAAAAAGACTCTATTCATATAAAATCTGATTCCACGAAGAGAACTCTTTCCAACAAGACCTATTATATGAAAATATGTTAACCTAATCCAAAGTTACATTGAATTCCTTACAGAGATGTTCCCCTTCCCCCACCCCTCATATTTTCTGAGCTAGAGCAATATGTGCCGCATCAAAATGATGCAAAATTGATACAAGATTGCTATGCATGTATTTTTTATGCACATTTGTTGAGTAGGTATATTTTAGAAAAAAAGTCATTTTTCTACTTAACCATGAATCGTACGCCCCCTAGCGGCGAAGTTAGAAACTTGAAAATAATTTCCAGCGATTTCTCTTGGCCCCTTTTGTTAACAAAATTTTTTTCCCGAAGCTGTGCAATTAACGGTTCCATAGATATGGCCTGTGACCATTATTAATGGGACACCCTGTACATGTACCTATCGGAGCCGTGTAGTTAACAACTTTAGGGACGGGGCTACAAGATGTGGGGTCGGCGACAACTGTGCGCCATCCCCCAGCGTGATTTATTTATTTATTTATTTATGATATACTAACCTGGAGATTTTTCAGTTTTAATCTCACTTTGGCTGGCTGGCTGGCTGGCTGGCAGCAAATGTGGGCGCGTAGAAGAACTCTTGTAGAAAGGCAACGGGTGTACGTGTATCTACAAGGCCGTGTAATTTGTCAACCTTAGGGACAGGGCTACATGATGTGGGGTTGGCGACATCTGGGCGTCATCCTCGAGCGTAGTTTACTAACGCAAAGGTTTTTCAGTTTTTTCCTATCTTCTACTACAGTTTTGGTTCGATTCTTTTCAAATTGGTGTCGTCGGAAAGATGTGGTAGACGCGCACAACTCCTGCGTGGCGGAATTTTGTTTTTTGTCCTAGGGGCGAAATTAGCAACCTTTTGCAAGGCGCGCGCGCGTCTTCGAGAGGTAGTCATCTTCGGGCGCCTTTTACATTCCGTTGCGGATTTTGTAACGCAGTTTAACGTTTCGTAAATCTCGAATCGCTATCTCTCTCTCGTGTCGCCAATAGAAGCTCGAGCAATGAGAAGTGCCTCAAAAATTAAGTACTATCTTGTGGAAGGTTTTTAGCGAAATCCACCAAAATGTGGGTGTAATATAAGTATGCACCGAAAAAGGAAATGTGGTAGCCTCCGACAAAATCTAACTGATGGTGGAGTGAAAACTTCAAACGCGAATTTGGGGTAAACGGGGCGTCGGAAGTGGGTACCAACAAAGGAATGTGGTAGCCCGCGACACGATCTTACTGATGGTGGAGTCAAATCTTCAAACGCGAATTGTGGGTGAACGGGACGTCGGAAGTGAGTATCGTCAAAGGGAATGTGGTAGCCTTTGACAAGATCTTATTGAGGGTTGAGTCAAAAGTGGCTAATAGAATACTGATCGCCACACAAAAATGCGCTGAAGTCCCTTCGATATTACACGAGGACTTTGATAACTTTTTCTTTCGAAAAACGGTGTAATAAGATCGTTACTAGATCTAAGAATGGGCTTCCGTGCAGTAAATGTTGATCGTTCTCATAACATAAAAAATTCACAAAATGGGACCCTAGTAGGTGAAGCCCTCAACTCCAAAATTTTAAAGAAAATCTTATTAGGCACTGAATTATTCAATATTTAAATCTTTGCTGTTTTACGGACATTGGGGTATTACTCCACCGAATAAATGGGAAGTATGTGCTGTTATTAGAAATAAATGAGCAATAATCGTTTAATTGGGCCTTTTTACAATTTATTTACTACTTCACACAACTTAAGTGGGAGCAACTGATTTTTATAATTTAGGCGTCGAAACTTATAAATGTGTAATGATATCTATTGCCATCATCAAAATGATGTTTGATGTGAATTTCTAGTTACTTTATCGTTACGTCTATGATGCTCAAGAGGGCTTGATCGACAAAGACTTTTTTATAGCACTTGGTTGATACGTAACAGTAAACATATCTTTCATCAACAAGATACCTGCATTGTGCGCTTTGTTGGAAAATCAAGTTTAGTAAGGGCATAAAATCAGGGGCATGACTGTCTTTCACGGGACAGAAGCAATTCAACATTACTATTGTACAAATTGGAAGGCGTATTGTATAGAGATAAACTTTTGAGAAAAATTACTACTGTTAGCACGTCAAGAGTGAAATGTACTTAAAATTTTATGCATACGTTCAAATGGCGGGGTACTTTACAAATAACATAATGAATTATGTCAAGAATATGCTTTACTTTTATAGCGTGAACGTCGTAACTTGTAAATGCCTTTATAGCGTATACTTACCCCGTCGTTAGTGACATAAACAAGCGCTTTGTTGCGCAAAAGGGCCTTATTAACATTATTGTGATGATTCTCTTCATTCTCTTGTTTTTACGACCCTATTTTTTAGATCCTTCGCATGATAATGATTTATACAAAGTGTTGTTAACTCTGAAAGTAGAGTCCGTAATTGTGCAAATCTTAATAATTTTATTATTCATATTATTCATGCCAGGCTTTTATTTTATGTACAACTTTAGCTACATTAAGCAACTCGAACGTCCTAATTTCTCGAAATTCCTTGTAACATTTCTAAACGACTAGAAGAAAACCACACTCCTTGAGAGGCTCGACGTAAAAGATCATTATCTGGACTAATAAGCCTTTTTCCAGAAATGACATATTATCGTCTTCATAAACTTTCTACTTGTTCGTGAAACACGTCGATATATCAATTGATCGCCCCGTTCAAATAACTACCGAACTCTCACTTTTTTCATCATTTGAAGTACTTGCAATCCTGGAAAGGGACACGTAGGATAAAAATTGTGGCACCCATTCCCGTCCACTCCGGAGATTAGTTGTCCCATATGCGCGGCGAAATGATATTTTGTAAGCTCCATTGTTGTCGTCAGGGAAGTATCTCTACAATCAAAAAGCGTAAGTTAATCACTTTCACATAACTGATGGATTTAATAATAGTGTACTGTAACACAACAACGATGTTATAATCGACGCATTGTAAAGTGAAAGTTTCTTTTAACGTTATGTATTCACTTCCACGTTATTACTTTCATTTTCTATATGAATATTTTTATTGTGGGCTTCCTCACCTTATGAGCGATAATAAAGATTTCTCGGATTCGGTTAATTTGTCCTTTTCGGATGATGCGTTTAGTTCACATATTAACTTCGGGAGACACGCATTCTTAATGGTCGTAATGATTTGGGCGCGTGTTTTTTGCGACGCTGCAATTAAAGGTTGCCGATAAAAACTCAGCGATTTGTAAAAGTAGATCATGTCAAGGACAACAGAATTATCCCAAACCCTTGCTTTCGTATAAATATTTAAACTTACCAAAAGTTTTAAGTTTGTCATCTTCGATGTCGGCGTCGATTTCAATTTCGGCCGAATTGTCACCGTATCCGGGATTCGTGGGCTTTGCTTTTCGGGGTGATCCAGCTGCCGCTCGATTACCTCCCAATAATTGGTGGAGAAAATACGAATAGTCACTAGTAAATATTAGAATTATGCACGCAACTAATATTAATCGCAGAGCAATTTTTCTAGAAATCATGATTTCACGTCCATTAACTAAAATCCATCAGTAACTGGACTAGTGTCTCTCGCTTACCTTGCAATTTCTGTTTAACCCCGCTCCACTCACCTTCAATAGTGAAAGTGCTATAAAGATCCAAAATTGTTCAGACTGTATTTAGTTTTTTCCGTATATACGTTAGAGAGAAAACACATTTACCATAAGGTGGGAACATGTTACGCAAATGGAGAAAAGGAATGGATGTTTCTAAATTTCATAATCGGGGATTATTTCAAACACGAAAGTTTGACAAGTGAATCTGTATAATTTCGAATTACCTTGACCTTCTGGGAAAGTTACATTTTTTCTGTGCAATACAGCTACAATGTAGCGCCCATTAATTTTACCAAACATAGTGTTATATAATTCTCCGACATTTTCGCAATATTGCGACCCCGATATACAGTGTGGAAAGCGATGGTGTATACAAGAGGAAAATATTGATTTATGAAAAAAATTTATTCTTCATGATACAAATAAGGCCCTAGGCTTACCTCAAGGTTCTTCCTCAGTCCTATGTTATTTAACTTGTACTGGCAGCTTGCTGGGCCTGCATCATATATTTCGATCCCACTGTGGGACACCGATGATGTGTCTACACAGCACACAGCAACATGGAGATTGTAAAAAACGGGACTTGCTGATGCCGTAAAGGAGCTAAGACAAGGAACAAAAAATTACCTACTTCTATTAACGCAGATGACCCTTTTGAGCTGCCACCGGTTGTAGGCCTTCGTAGAAGATTCAGTTACAGATAACGAGACCTTTCGAACAGATTATAGCTCTTTTTCAAATAGTTCTATGGTCCAAATCTTCCAACCAAATGCAAGGAATTCGGAGGACGCCCTCTGATTTGTGTGGATCTAATATTATTTTTAAAAAAACCAACAGAAAGCAGTTATCTCTCCAAAACATATTTTGCCGGTGCCAAAGTCAAAGAAGGAAATGACCAGTAAAACACCTAAGTCTTGCCAGGTAGCATATAAAAATGATTTACAAGAGAAATACAAACAGAAAGATATCAAAGAGAAAGAAAAGGATGAACTGAACAAGCCTAAAGCAGTGATTCTTAAAAATCAAGCGTGTTAAAGGAAACCAAGTAACTTAAACGGTCCAAAATCTATTGATACAGACGAATCAGTCATGTGAATCGAAATCGGTGTCGAAACCCTTGGAGAAGAAGACGCGGTTGATAAATGTGTGAAAAAATCAGATATTCGATAACGATTCTTTGCACCCAATATCGCGCGCCCAATCACACTCGTGCTTTATAAAGTCTGAAAATTAAAGATAATTTAGTATCTTATTGGCCTCATTTATTAATCCTTGTGGTAGTGGTCGGCACGGGGCCCCCGCTGGCGCGGATCCTCTGGGTTTCAGCCCTCAAAGCCTCTACCTAAATCCGCCGCTGCTTATATAGTAAACGACAATTCATCCGTCATATCACGGATGACTCATTGTTCATGGCGCCTCGATGTCTATTGAGATTCCTGTGATGCTTTGCTATATTATCAAGGTTCCTCTTCCATAAAATCTGAACACGAACGATAATTGCAAAACTTCTGCCTGGAATATTGTTCCTTCCTCCACATATAGGTACTCCGTTATCTACTCCGTTTTCTGTTGCAGAACTGTCTGTGTAGTAGACGCCTCCACTTAGCTTCGGGGAGGATATTTCGTGGTCGCATTCGTCCCTTGTTAGTATGGCAATACCGTAAGGCACCTTTGTGTATATTCAATAATTCATTTATGACGTTAGACCCCACTTCTTCCCAAACATTCGTTAACAGGTGTGTTTCTAATTCATTTTGAGTATTTTGTAATAAAATAGATAACTTTTTGGGAGTATTTTTATATATAAAATTGTGGAACTTTCGTCTAATTATTTTTTCTTTAATATGTATGATCCTACATATTTTATGCTGTGGGTAATTTTCATTAGATAACAAGTATTTCGGGTGAAATATAATGGTAGTGAATCACTATTTTATATAGTTCTACGTTTTCCCAAAGATCGCCGTTTTTTATTTGGTTGGATGTATGACTGAAAAAGTTAAAAAAGTCATCGTAAACGATTTACAAAAAGCGCATAACCACTTGCATTCATTTCCCATTTGTAAGATGCTACTTCTGTTAAAATCGTAAAAATCCGGCCACAAATATGCAAGATAGCGTTGTACATGTGCAATCCATTTTTGACGTGCTACTTCAATTTCTGTTCATTTAAATACTTTCATAAATAAGAAAGTTGGCACTGTGCATGCGCAAAACCAAATTTTGAAACTGGCGTTAGATTTTCCTTTATTCAAAGTGCCTATGTATGAAATTTCATTTAAATACTTTTATAAATGAAAAAGTTTGCAATTCGGTTTATAAATGGTCGAGGTGCGAAAAGGGCACTGTGAATTTTGAATCGATTTGACTCAACTTTTGGCTGAAGCCCATATTGAATTTCATGCAATTCAGTTCATAATTAACGGAGATGTCAAAGCGAGCAAAGGAACAGACGGACAGACCAACAGACAGACGACAGGCAGCAATACAAAATTATAAACGAATTGTCTAGGATCGTTAATAAACGGCAAAAGTGTAAAATTATAGAACATGTAAAAAATGGTTTTTTGTTTTTTTACAATGACTGTTTTAGCAATAAACGCAGAAAAAATTCCATCCTTGGTGCAAGCCTCGACACCATAACGAACCAAATAGCAAGAAAAGTAGAACAATAGCTCTTAAGATAAAGAAACGTCGTTTGCCACCGTGGACGAAGAGAGGAGAGTCCAAGAGAGGGCCCGAGCAATGCCGAACTCGCCTTTGGCTCGGTCGGCATTGGTGTGCATATTAATACATTATGTTTGGCCGTTGGTAAACGTTTTTTGCTACCGTGGACGTAGAGAAGCGAGTCTAAGGGAGGGTCCGAGCTATGCCGTGCAAAAAGTGTAGTGTGTGTTTAGACATTGGTAAACGTCGTTTGCCACCTTGGACGTAGAGAGGCGATTGTAAGGGAGGACCCGAGCTAAGCCGATCTCGCCTTCGGCTCGCTCGGCATTGATGTGGAAAAGAGTGTAGTGTGTGTTTGGCCGTTGGTAAACGTCGTTTGCCACCTTGAACGTAGAGAAGCGAGACTAAGGGAGGGCCCGAACTATGCCGAACTCGCCTTCGGATCGCTCGGCATTGGTATAAAAAAAGTGTAGTGTGTCATTGGTCGTTGGTAAACGACGTTTGCAATCATGCACGTAGAGAGGCGAGTCTAAGGGAGGGCCCGAGCATTGGTGTGCAAAAAGGTGTAGTGCATGTATGTTTGGCCGTTGGTAAACGTCGGTTGCCGCCGTGGACGTACATACATAGGCGTTTAGGGAGGGCCCGAGCTATGCGGTCAGCTCGCTATGCATTGGTATAAATTGTATATTTCATTACCGAAACTGTATACCGGCCCCGAATTCCGGCCCAGTGGTTCATTTGTGCCGACCTCGCCTTGGGCCTTGTGACCGAAGTATACGTTCCTTTCCAGAATTAAGTATACACTGTAAATAAACTACACAGTAGAAAAAATGCGCATGTAGGTGAAATGGGGTCTAATGCTTCTTGTAGGCACTTACTTTTAGACATTTGTGAAGTGTGAACGCCTTTTAGGTACTTATAGATATAGCTTCACTACAGTCCTTAGAATGTACTTTATGCATATTTGAAGCACACCTCGTACAGTATTAATGAGAAAATTGGCGTGAAACCTCGACAATATACCTACTTAGGTCGTATGCTGCTTTTGGCCCTAAAAACATCCTCGATGATTTTTACCAATCGCAAAGCTTAAGTTAATACTATAAAATAACAATTTCGACAACTACTCGCGTTAAGTTTTTCATATTTGTGTTAATTTTCCGTTCGTCAGAATAAAGTCAGGACCTAGGACACCCCTTTGTTTATCTTGAAATGAACTCTTCCATCAGAAAAATTCTCGTTTTAAGGGAATGAAGGAAAATATGCATTTTCGTGAAGACAAAAGGCTTCCAACACATGCGAATGGAAATCTTAGAGAGTTTATGACCCCTCACGGACATGCCCGTGCCGTATTTAACTCAAAATCGCAAAAAAATGGTTCGCTGATGACGTTATCGGTGCATGAATTTAGGATTTTTTGCAAATTTAAGGGGGAAGGAGTGAACAGATCAAATTTTGAGCATATGAATGTCATCTCAACTTTTCACGGAGGACTCGATGCCGTTGAAAAACTTGACGGATCGCAAAAAATGCCGTGACCTTCATGCTGCTTCTACCATTTATCGTCGACCTGCGTAGCTCAGATGAACTTACTTAGAAGCTCTAAAACTTTGGCTACACGGGTCCTGGGTTCGAATCCCATGGCTGTTTGTGATTGTATAGTGGGTTGAGTGGGAAGAGTAGCAAATTGCTAACACTCCGCCCACTATAAAATAAAGGCAATAAAAAAATATTGAATTATATTGAACAAGTATCACAGTTTACAGAAACGCAAGAAGTTACATGCTATGGGTCGTAGGTCACGAGTTGCTCTTTTGAATTTTTTGGGATGGCATTGCTATACCATCATCTCACGAATAAATGGGAGTAGGGTAACCACACAATAGCACAAAATGTTGATCCCACATTATTAGGGAGGAAACCCGCAGTGTTTCTCACAAAACCGACAGAAAGTGGTCCGTTCAGTTGTCCTGGACGAAAAATGGTACTCCACAAATTTCTTTAATAAATCGTGGAAATGGGCGAACCTTCTTCCGTTTTTTTCAAATTTCTTACTGGGCAAAACGCATGTTGCAACGTATGATATATGATCTTCCAGTAACTTAGACACATCTTTCGCATGTTAGTATCAATTATTATTATTAGGGTTATTACGCCAATTTACATGCTCGTGGAATGTCGCATAATAGCAAATCATTCTCTCAAAGGTACCTTCATTTACATCAAATTTATAGCACATTAAATATTGAGGAACCTATTACATGTGCGAATTGTAAAGAGAAATTAATATGCAGGGCTATAAATATATAAGCATTTCAAGCACACGTTACGTTAGTTAATACGGGAATTGG